AATAATAATAATGATGAATATTAGAGTGATTTCTGAAGGATCATGTGACTCTGAAGACTGGAGTAATGAAGCTGAAAATGCATCTTTAAAATCACTGGAATAAATAAATTCATTCATTCATTTTCTTTTCGGCTTAGTCACTATTAGTCAGTGGTCGCGACGGTGGAATGAACTGCCAACTTATCCAGTATATGTTTTACGCAGCGGATGCCCTTCCAGCTGCAACCAATCTCTGGGAAACATACATACACTACTGACAATTTAGCCTACCCTACCCAATTCACCTTTACCGCATGTTTTTGGACCGGAGCACCCGGATGAAACCCATGCTAACGTGGGGAGAACATACAAAATCCACACAGAAATGCCAACTGACCCAGCCGAGGCTCGAATCAGCGACCTTCTTGCTGTGAGATGACAGCACTACCTACTGCGCCACTGCGTCGCCCACTGGAATAAATCATAAATTAAATTATAAACTACTTTTGAACAGTTTTTTTATAGAGCAATAACATTTTACTATTTGTACTGTATTTTTGATGAAATAAATGCAGCCTTGGTGAGCAGGAGAAGCTTATTTTAAAACAGGTCTGCGGGCCCACAATAAATGCTTTGAATTCTGTCAAATTGTGTATGGTGAGGGTCTAGCAAATAAAACGTGAACATAATCATTACATCTGAACAATTGTATCCCCTACCCCCAATCATTTATCAGTCCAGCTCACTGTAAAAATCCCAACTGAAATCAATTAAGTTCATTGGTTTTGACCAATTAAAGTGGGTTGAACATAAAACAATTTGTCAAAAAAAAAAAACAAGTTGTCAAAAAAAAAAAAACAGCAAATTTTTCAGCTAACTTTGAATAAATTATTAGCAGGCAGTTACTGTAGCTCTCTGCAACTCTCACATGCTCGCCTGCTAAAGCTAAGCAGGGTTGCACCCGGTCAGTACCCATATGGGAGACCACATGGAAAAAGGTTGCTGCTGGAATTGTGTTACTGAGACCAGCAGGGGGCACTCAACCTGTGGTCTGTGTGGGTCTTAACGCTCCAGTATAGCGAAGGGGACTCTATGCTGTTCAGTGAGTGCCGTCTTTCAGATGAGACAGTAAACTGAGGTCCTGACTCTCTGTGGTCATTAAAAGACAAGGGATTAAAGGCAAATTTAACAAATAAGTGAGGTAAGCGGATGCTTAGAGGCCCAGGAAGTCTGTGGGCTCCCAATAAACCCCTTTAATTCTGTTATATTGTGTATGGTGAGTGTCTAGCAAATAAAATGTGAACGTAATCATTACATCTGAACAATTCTATTTCCTACCACCAATCATTTATCAGTCCAGCTCACTTTAAAATTTTACTTAAATCAATTAAGTTCATTGGTTTTGACCAATTTAAGTGGGTTGAACATAAAGCAAATGAGAATTATAAAATAAAAAACTGAAGAATTGTGTTGATTCAGCTTATTTTGAATAAATAAATAGCCGGTAGCTAGCTCTCTGCAACTCTCACATGGTTGCCCACTGAAGCTAAGCAGAGCTGCGTCTGATCACATGGGAAAGCTAGATTGCTGCCGGAAGTGGCATTAGTGAGACCAACAGGGGTTTCTCAACCTGTGGACTGTGTGGGTCCTAATGCCCCAGTATATTGATGGGTACTCTATACTGCAAAGTGAGCGCTGTCTTTCAGATGGGATGTTAAATAAGGTTCTGACTCTCCGTTGTTGTTAAAAGACATTAATATTAATCATTTTATTAGCATATGTAATGACGTTCACGGCCCTTTGGCCGCCGGGAAGAAGGAGGCGGAGAACCGACGCAGTTTTTAAAATGATTTATTAATAACAGGGACGGCAGCTCCGTCAAACTGAAAGCAAAAGTAAAACAATATGCCCAGGCCCGGTCCTCTCTCGGCTTCCTCTGCCATCGTTCCTCCTTTTATTGTCCAGAGCTCCTTCTGTGGGATCCGAAGCAGGTGCGCACAGCAGGTGTATCCACTTACGCGGTGGCCTCACTCCGTTCCCACGGCTCTCGGCCACGCCCCCCTCGCCACAGTATATTATTAGTAGTATATTATCAGTGTTGGGCAGTAGTGTCACTTCTTGTAGCGACAAATCAAATAGCTTTTCAGTAGATCAATCGCAGATCAATACGTGACGGCACCGACATTCAGGTAGCTGTGAGGCCGTTGTCTAGCCAATGAAAGTAAATCTATACGAAGGCGAGAATGACGATTTCTTCTTCTTCCTGTTTTACCGTGGTTACTGCCAACTCTGGTCGATGACGTCACCAACCAAATTAGGCTCACACGAGAAACTTGCTTGATGGAAAGATAACTGAGGGAGAGGAGTTCTTTCTGAAGCAGGATTTTTCGTGACCATACCTCGAGAAGTACATGTTAGGAGGCAAAAATTGAATTATTGATGCTGTGTACAAAAATACTTTGGTCTGTAAACAATTGAAAAACAAATTTTGCATTAAGGTTTAATAATTATGACCTTAAAATGGTTTTAAAAAACATTAAAAACTGCTTTTATTGTAGCCAAAAAACAAACAAACAAAACAAATAAGACTTTCTTCAGAAGAAAAAATACTTTAGGAAATACTGTAAAAAAAAAATCCTTGTTCTGTTAAACATCATTTGGTAATTATTTGAAAAGAAGAAAAAAAACACAGAAGGGTTAATAATTTTGACTTCCCTGTATTTACAATAATGGCTAATATTTGCTGATTAACTAACAGTCGTAATATTGTGTCTTCATCGCTGCAGTGGATTCAGCCGATGGTTTCTCTCCCGTGTTTTACATGTGGTACTAAATTCAGTCTGCATTCCATGGCACAAATAGACGGAGTGTTGGTGAACAGCTGCAGTGGTGGGGTTTATCCGTATAACCTCTGCTCACCCCACACACACACACTTCCAGGACTATATTTAAAGTGTATGGAGTCAACGGGACCCTGGACATCAGCTGACCACCAGTAGCTCTTTCACTACATTGTGGAATGCTTAATCTAATGTGAAAATGTGAACAACAATGTGGACACACTGATGAGAGTTCTCTACCTTTATGGGGACGTGCTGGCAGAATGCAGATCTCAGAGGAGAAAAAGATCCATGAAGACTTATTTGAACTTAACTTAAAGAATTGATTTGTTCATTTATTTTTACATTTATTTATTTGAATCTAATAAATAAATATTTTTATTATTTATTTATCATGACTTTAATATTTTTTAAACTTTATTTTAATTGTAATTTTAAAGTTTAATTTAAAATATATTTTAATTATATTTATTTATATTATATGTTATTTTTATATGTTATCATTTGTTTACATTTATTAATTTAAATCTAATAAATAAATCTTTTTTATTATCTATTTATCATTAATCCAATTTAATGATTCATTTTTTACTGAAATTTAATTGTAATTTTAAATTTAATAAAAATATATTTTCTTTATATTTATTTATATTATATGTTTTTTTAATTATTATTTTTTATTTTTTACATTTATTTATTTTAATTTAAATATTTTTTTAATTTAATAAATATTTATATGTCATTAATTCAATTTAATAATATTTTTGCTTTATTTTAATTGTAATTTAAAGTTTAATTGAAATATAAATATTTTATTTCTATTTATACATATTAGGTTATTTTTAATTATTATTATAGATTATTTTTACATTTATTGATTTGAATCTAATAACTTATTTATTTTATTATTTATTTATCATGACTTTAATTCAATCATTTATTTTTTTTTACTTTATTTTAATTATAATTTAAAGTTAAAAATGTTTTATTTATCTTTATTTTATCAAATGTCATTTTTAATTATTATTATTTTTTGTTTAAATGTATTTATTTGAATCTAATAAATAAATGTTTTTATTATGTATCTTCACTTCAATTTAATAACCATATATTTTTACTTAAATTTAATTGTACGTGTATTAAACGTTTTATTTAAAAAATTATATTTCATTTTTATTATATTGTTTTTAATTCTTATTATTTTTTACATTTATTTATTTTAATCTAATACATGAATATTTATTTATTATTTATTTATAATTCATTCAATTTAATCATGTATTTTTATTTAAATTTAATTGTAATTTAATGTTTAATTAAAAGTAAATATTTTTATTTATGTTATATGTTATTTTTCATTATTTTTTATTTTTTACATTTGTTTATTTTAATCTAATCAATACATATTTTTTCTTGTTTATATATCATGACTTAATCATTATTTTTTTACATAAATTTAACTGTAATTTAATGTTTAATTAAAAATATATATTTTATTAAAATGTATTCATATGTTATTTTAGCTAATTTTGTGCAATAAATTAATCTAATTTTAATGTTTATTTTTAATTTCATTAGTTTTTCCTTTATTTAGATGTATATATTATATTAATATAATAGTATATTTATATTAAATGTATATTTTACATTTTTGTTGTTAATTCATCTAATTTGTTGTCCTTTACATTGAAACAGAAAAAATATAGACAGTATTTTGTTCTTAGACAGGTACAGGTATTGTATATCTAAACGATCCCTCCCCTTTCTTAAAATTAATTAATTTTAATAAAACATTTGAATCATTATTATTATTATTGTTGTATTATTATTATATTGTGTTGCTATGTGCTTCAATGTTAAAAATCTTCTAAATGTTAATATATAAATGTTACATGTAAATTTACTGACAAAAAAATTAAGCAGAATTTGTAAAATTATATTAAATATATAAATGTATTATAAATACCCATGTAGTGTTAATATTATTAAAATTGTACTTATATCTTGTATGTTTTAGTGTTACGAATTTTTGTTTATAATGTAGCCTACCGATGAACAGGTTATCAACACAGTCCTTCTCTAGGAGTGGGAGTGACCACTAGAGCGTCTCCTCAACTCCTATTGGTCGAAACCCTCAGAGGGCGGAACATAAACAACCCCCACTACTCATCCATACAACCTTCTTCAATTCACTTCATTTCTCAAAGCTGTGAGAGACGTGCTTTGTCTCAATTGTGGACAAACCACACGAGGAGAACAACTGCAGGAACATTAAACATCCAAAACACTGGAAATTTAACTCCGAAACATCCTTTCTCGTCACACTCGACAGGGCTTTCTGATCACTGACCGGTGAGTAACGTGTGTTTGTGTGTAACGTGTGAGCTATTACTTTTAAAGAGTATATTTTGAGGCTAGGGAATTAGAAAACGCAAAGTGACTGAAGAAAAACACAGCAGTTAAATGTAAATGATGTGGAAATTGACTTATTGTGAATGTATACAGTTACTGTGGACACAAATGCAGCATGTTTGATTCCTTTTGTGATGGTCTCATAGGTTTTTTTCTCATAGGTTATACCTATGTAAAGTAGGTCTGTTACGTTGTAAATAAATCAGTGACGTCACGTTATTTTTTGTCGTGATACGCTGACTGTAATGTTTTATTCTGTGATATAATGTATTATTCAGAAATACATTAAAATACAACCAGTTGTGCACCTTTTTAATGATGGGAATGCTTTTAATTTCCGATTAAAATTCATTTAATATAGATATTACAAAAAATAATAAATTGAAATTATCTAAAAAATGCTGAAATGCATTAATTGAATGTCAGGTTTCGTTAGAAACATTTTTAAAAACTTTTTTTTGAACTTTTATTATAATATTTAAAATGCAAAATATCATCAACATTGGCTAATTTGTCAGTAATTGTTCAATAATGTCTTTTCTCCTGTTTTATGGCTAAACAAAACATTAAAAGAATAATTGTCTGACAATAAAACGTATAATTAACTTTTAGCAAAGGATAATGAGATCTATAAATCTATTCTTTGCATCATTTGCTTGTATTTTCTTTCCATATGTGCCCACTCCTTATTTAAACAGGACTTGTAACATATGTTTTATCCTTCTGCTGCCTTCCCAAATAAGATTTGCATCCTTGTTGAGTTTAGGAGGGCGAACTTTGGTTTTAGATCACCTTGAATAAACACGTCATATTGGTATATATCTGAATACATTATATGTATTGCAATATATTGAATTTTGGCTGGCCAGATGGCTTGTAAGGAGTCTGTGGATTCCCTTATGGTCAGGGAACGAGAGGTTAGAGGTCACAGAGAAAGTGGAAAATCACCAGTAGAATAATTAATGAATGAATATGACATGTTTGTACAGATCCCAGATTAAAAGTCAGATTTTTGATGATTTGTGTTGTATAAATTTGGTAAAATCTAGAGGAGGTGTGACCGTGTGATGAAATAAATGTCTGTTTTTCAGCGGACGTCACTGTAAAATCAATTATCACGAGTAAACAAGAATATTCCAGCATTTTCTAAAGACAAACACATGACATCAGCTGAACGTGACTGACCGGCGCTCACATTTTGTCCTGGTCCTGGATGTAAACATGCGCATTCATTGAGGTCAGAGATTTTGACAGACGCCAGGTCACTGACCTTATGTCCAAGGCCAGAGATGAGCTCGTGATTTTGCAGGTCCAGCCGTCATGTCTGAGGCATTGAAGTTCATTTACATTACTGTAGGGCTGCACGATACTGGAAAAATCTCACATTGCAATATTTTCTATGCTATATACAGTTGAAGTCATATTTCATCTAGAATAAAAGCTATTTTTTAAAAACCATTTCAAGGTCCATACTTGTTAGACTCCTTAATTAATATTTGTTTTCGATTGTCTACAGAACAAACCACTGTTATACCACGATTTGCCTAATTACCCTAACTTTAACCTAATTAACCTAGTTAAGCCTTTAAAAGTCAATTTAAGCCGAGAACTAGTATCTTGAAAATATCTAGTAACATATTATATACTAGTGGTGGGCAAAGCGAGGCTTCGTGAAACACTGAAACTATCGAAGCAAATGTGTCGAAGCTTCGAAACGTTTCGAAACACCACTCTACGGTGACACCTAGTGGTCATTTTATCTGTATTTCACTGAAACCGCTTCAGCAAAGAACAGTTGAGCAAGTTGATGTATCAAACCCCGCTTTGTAGCCTAGAATCATCAGATGGTTTAGTCGAGCGGTTAGGATACGTTGATTATCATGCGGGAATATTGGGTTCGATTCCAGACTGTCACAAGTGTGTTGAAATGCTTCACTACCAGTTGGTAATGCTTTGTTATTGTATCGTTTTGTTTCAACATTGCTCTGACATACGAATAAACATTTGTAAATAAATTTGTATTTTGTTCATATAACAGGGTTGTTACTAGATCAGATACAGTTGTGGCCAGAAGTTAACAATAATTATTTATATTATTAATTAAATTTCCCATTGTATTTTATTAACGTCTATTCAAAACCTAAACCCATCACAGTACTGTAAAAATATGAATTATTGTTTTACAGTGTTACAAAAATGATGCTAAATTGATGGTGTATCCGCAGCTTTATCCTATCTAGGCTACACCATAAAACAGTAACATGATTAAAATACATAAAATCATGATTTTGGAGTATTTGTAATAGTCGAGATTCGAACCCAAAATAGACATGAATTACAATTCCATAGTGCACACGCACAGTCCACTAGGCCATACAAGACGGAGACTTGATGAAGATCATGCCAGTGAAATGCAGATTCTCCGGGTCTTGAAACGCCTCTGAAATGATTGATGCTTTGAATCGCTTTTGTCACGTGACCAAGTGTTTCGAAACACTTTAGTCACGTGACCTGGGTGTTTCGGATCATGCTTCGGTACAGTGTTCGAAACACTTGCGCTTCGGGATCTCGACACTGTGTCGAAACGTCAGTTTCACGTCAGCCATCCCTATTATATACTGTAGGGCTGCACAATATATCGTCTCAACATTGATGTCGCAATACTCGCATGGATTATAGTAGACCAGAAACCACCGCTGACCGTGTTTGTGTTTTAAAGGCATGTGATTGTATAAGCGTTTAAAGCATTCATCCATAAGAAATTATAATGTTTTTAACTTTAAAAAAGATTGATTGTACTTAAGTATATACACACAAACACACACTATGAAAACTACACTGTTTACATTTGATAACTCAATTTGTGTAGCTGAATACTGCTAGACTCCCAGAAAAAAAACTGTTGTTGTTTTCAATATCAATACTTTTGATAGGTTTATTTAATGCAGACGCAGTCTAAAAAATCATCATAATCAATGTAAAATTATGTAAATTATTTTTAAATAAAGATATTAATTTTATCTCTAGCTCTATTTGGAAAGATTTTATTGTTTTAGATAGATTTGGGATGATAATTGAATTTGCATAGATTATTATAAATTACAAGCTTATAAAAATACAACAGAGCAGAGATAAAAGTTAAACAGACAGTGCTTTTTGGTTTTCTGTAGAGTCTAAAAGTATTCAGGGACAGAAACTAAACAATGGAACAATAAATAACATGATCATCATTGTATAAACAATATAAAAATAATAACATTTGATAATAAATTTATATTTTAACAGGACATGATCACGTGTGAGCACTGTTGGTGTTTATTTTTATCAACATGCAGTACTTACTTGTGATATAGTTTATAGTTTTGATTATAGTTTCATAGTTTTCAGTTTTTTGATATATGGTCATGTTGAATTTTGTTTTCATATATACATTTATTTGGTTTAAATATTTTGATTATTAGAAATTTTAGCAGACATTCACTTGTAAATACACTTTAATATGAACGTAAAACTTACATTTTAACGATTAGACATTAAAAAAAAGGAAAAGAAAATGAAAGAACAACCAGCAGTCATTAAAAAACTATTAAACTGAAATTAAACATACTTTCCCCCAACCAACTTCATATGTCGAAATTTATGCAAATCTTGATTGATTTCAGAAAAAAAACACATTCTTATGGCAGTTTGTAATTTTTTACATGTTTTTTTTATTATTTTTTTTTACATTTTGCATTTCTAAACAAAAACAAGATTGTAGACCATAAAAAATGATACATGGTTGTCTAATTTTTTTACAATGTTTAAATGTATAATTCTGCTATATGCATTGATAAACTCATGCAAAATTCATTAAAAGTAGGAATATGTTGGATTGTGAAAATTGGCATTATTAGCTTAATCCTGTCAGGTGAATAATACAATATTTCAAGGAATTTGTGATCCAAGCACTGCATGTAAAAAAAAAAGAAATAGCACACAAATTGGATTAAATATATCACAATTTACTGAACCTTTACAAACTGAATAAAACAATAAATGTACAATTATTTCACCTTTATTTACCCTTTTTTAGAAATCGAGTCACAGATTTTATTAGAGTTTTTTTCTGGAGACTTGGTAGTGGTACATCATTATCTTTTTTTGAGTGATGCCTTTTTAATTAAAAATGCTTTCTATTTACTAAATACAAACACGTAGACAGACAGATCAATCAATGGACTGATAGGAAAGACTGCATTTTAGGGACGAAGAAAAGTATTGATTTTTCATGCATGATATTATTCCTTGTAATCAGTGTGTTTTACATCTATAAGGTTAATTTGTCATGCAATTATAAGACGTTGTTAGAGAACTAATTAAAAACGAAGATAATGCAGACTTTATCTGTAAAATAAACTTCAGAAAGAGCAATCAATGCACATGGCAGGTCTTTCCAACCTCAACCAGGTCAAATCAGTCCTGACAAAGAGGACAAAATGTGGTACTAGCATGGTGTTCTTGAAGTAAATGACATTTTGCTATAATATGCTGTCACTTGGGCTGCACAATAAATCACAATATATATATCGTTAATGCGATAATAGTGTATGCAACATATGGATCGCAGATGTGTTTATTTTATGCTGCGGTTGTTTATCTAAATTGACCAATCAGATTGGATGTATCATATGTATCCGCACTCCCTCAAGCAGTTGCTGTTCTGCTATTAGCTGAACTGGCACGAAGGCTAACCCAGAGCTGGAAAAAAAACACTAATAGGCGGAGTCGAGACGAGAGAGGAAACTGACAACAGCCAATCAAAATCAGAATATCTGCTCATTAATAGTGTTTTGAAGACTGAATGTTTGCACCTTGACGGTTTTTAGTCAAGTAAATCTGAAAATATATAACCTGTTTATTTTAATATTATCATTACATAAATGGGCAGCGCAGTGGGT